ATCGGTAACCTCTACCGATTACCAATAGGTAGCCGCGACCGATTATTTTTTTCAGTGTAGACTGGACGGGACGGCAATAGTCAAGGAAGTTTCCTAGGACCTCGAAACCTCGAGATCCGATCAAAACTCGATTTTCGAAAAACGGGGTGAAAACAATAACTTCCCGATTTTTGAAAATCTTCGATTTTCTTAGCGGGAAGTTAAAAATTTTATTCTATTAACTGAAAAATTTTTCTTCTTGTGTATTTTTCGTTTTATACTTGATAAAAAAATTCAATGCGTGCTAATATCTTTCTGGGTCATTTTGATTTTTCACAAAATATTAATCATGAATTCCTACGTTAAATACCGTAAGAGAGTCGGGGAAACAATAACCAAACTCTGAAAGATAGTAGCAAGTGTTGGATTTTTTAGGCATTTTTAGAAAAGCCTTTGGATTAAAAAATAGAATTTTTCAGAATATGTTAAATTAAATTCCAAACCAAGATTGAATTTCGAGAAATTCGAGCGAGCTGTAACACAAATGTTTACGTCAATCAGGCGAACTAATAACGTTCCTTCAAAGCCTTTAAAAAATCCAGCACGTTCAGAAAAGTCATCAAGTTCAACATCTCATCGCCACTCGCAGATCACGACATCAAAATCACCTCATGTTTCTGAATCGTCATTGCATGCTCCCAGTCAGTCTCCGCATCATTCTTCTACGCGTTCGCCCAATCAATCACAAGATCACTCTCCCAATTATTAACAGTCTGGTCATCACTCAAAAAAATCTTCTCACAACCGTCGTTCCGTCCATCGTCATAATTGGTCACGTGAACGATCAAGAAGCCGTTCACTCTATTCAGAATGTAGTGATGAAAGTTACCGTAAAAGTTAATAAGCATTGGTAGAAATAATTATTTGAGAAAAATATTCTCGAATCACGGATATTATTCTGTAAAATTAGATTATTATTTTGAATCATATTAAAAAATTCTCTTACCAAGTAATGAGGTGATTTGGTGACATAAATTCATGTCACTTGGTTCAAGAATTGTTTTGTTCGATTCAAGATAATAAAATTTTTAAGAATGATTTTCTCGACTCAGAATTTTTCTTTTAATCCTAATAATTTTCAATCAGTGATAAAAAAGTTTAATCATGAATTTTACAAGATAAGTTTACAGTAAACAATTTTTGGTTATAGTGCAAAAGAAAAGTATACGTCATAAATTTTTATGTTTAAATATTTAACACTTTTGTGCGATGATTCAGGATAAATTTATCAAATCAACACATAAAAATATTAAATAATCACATAAGAGTGTTTACTATTTAACTAAATGATTTTCTTTTCTTTACACAATAATAGAAAATTTTTTATTGTCCATTCCATTTATTTTAGAGTTTCCAGAAAAAATTATTTTACTTCTGAGTATATCTACGCTTATTTAACACACCATTATACATATCTTCAAGTATATATGTACGGAAGCATAAAACAATCAAAATTGTAATGCGATTTTGATCTTAAGGCTCCAAACATTTATAAAAAGCCAAAAAAACGGAACGTTATAGATATAACTTATATTTTCCTTAAAAATACTGTTCAATAAAATTTTTTTTTGCCCTCCTGGCGGAAAGTGGCAACTTTCGTCCCGCTGCGCTAAACAAAGTTGCCGCTTTTTGCCTTCGTCGGATGAAAAAATAGTATACAGCCCTTGGAAAGTAAAAAAGAAAACCCCAGATCACATGCAATTGTTGGCCAAAGCTTCGCTTCGGCCGACAATTACATATGATCTGAGACGTATCTTTTTTTACTGGCCTGGGTACGTAATATACTATTTAAGATTATTTGAAGCAAACTTACTATAATGTTGTAATTTACTGTTGTAATTTTGTTTATTTTTTATTTAAAATAAAAGAATTGTAAGAGTTTCAAAATAAGATTCTAATTTTAGATCCGTTTGAATTTTTTTTCAAGTGGAAGTGCTTATAATTCTTATAAACTATTTTTACTTTTTTTTTTTTTATTTACAACCCTACATTAAGTAGCTAATATAAAATTATGAAGCATAAAAAAATGAACCTAGAGCACTTTTGCCAAAGGTTTATTTTAAATTTTTTGTAGCTTAACTAAATTGGTTCTTGGATAGGTATTTTTGTAATGATTAGTAAACATTTTTTATTATAGATTATCCGAGTGTAATTAATTGTCAAGAACAACGCGGATTAATTACAGAATCTTAAGATGGAGTGAATTATGTGCGCTAATTTTTTCACAGCCATTGTCAAGGAAAAATTTATGTTGCAAATGAGTGCGGTGAACAGTCGTCTCTAGCTGAATTATCGAAGTTAATCAAGCAAAAATTTATCATTCTACACCAGACTTTTAAAAGATTTACCACAAATCTTTCGCTCACGTATCTTTCAAAGATCTACCACAGATCTTTCGCTCACGTGTCTTTCAAAGATCTACCACAGATCTTTCGCTCACAGATCTTCCAAAAATCTTCCAGAAGTCTTTAATGGACTTTTTGAAAATTTGTTTTTTGAAAATTTGTCTCCCCAGGGAGACTTCTGGTAGATCTCTTGCAGATCTAATAGCGAAAAATCTGTGGTAGATCTTTCGTGAGTCTATTGTAGATTGTTCTTTTTTTACCCGGGGACACATGTACGACACTTGATCGGCATCTAAGTGACATCTACATGACACTCGAACTACACCTGAATGACAATTAAGTGATACTTGAACGACACATAAGCGACGTAAGTGACAGTTAGGTAACGCTTGAGTCATAAAAAAGCAACACATATGCGACACTTGAGCGACACACTTGCGACACTTGAGCGACAGATATGCGACATTTGAATGAAACTTGAGCGACACATGTGCGACACATGTACACTTGATCATTACCCTAAGTGACGCCAATGTGATACATTAAAGACGTGGCAATTAAAAGACACCCAAGCGATTCATGAGTGAAGCGAACGCGTCACCTAAGCGACTTGTGCGATACCCAAGCGACATATGCGTAACACTCGTGCGACAACGAAGCGAAACTTACGTGACACTTCAGCGACACTTGAACGATACATGTGCGACATTTGAGCGAAATATGCGACACTTGAGCGACACACATATGACACCGGAGTGACTCATGTGCGACACATGTTTGACATTTCAGCAAATCATAAGCAACATGTGCGTCACTTACGCGACGGATCTGCAACACGTTAGCGATATCTAAGTGGCACATGTGCGAAACTTGATCGACACCTAAGTGACACCTACATGACACTCGAGCTACACCTGAATGACAATTAAGCGATACTTGAACGACACATAAGCGACGTAAGTGGCAGTTAGGTAACGCTTGAGTCATAAAAAAGCAACACACATGCGACACTTGAGCGACACACTTGCGACACTTGAGCGACAAATATGCGACATTTGAATGAAACTTGAGCGACACATGTGCGACACATGTACACTTGATCATTACCCTAAGTGACGCCAATGTGACACATTAAAGACGTGGCAATTAAAAGACACCTAAGCGATTCAAGAGTGAAGCGAACGCGTCACCTAAGTGACACTTGCGATACTTGAGCGACACATGTACCAAACTTGAGCGTCACATGCACGACACTTGAGCGAAAGTTAGCAACATGAGCGTTACTCACGCGGCGGACATGTGACACCGACGCGGCACATGTGCAACACGTTTTGGCGACTTATCGATTAAGAATAATTTATCCTGTTACAGGCTTTAGGGTGAACCGTTTTTCAAATTTTTTTTTACCATTTGTTATGAAAATCAAGAAACCATTTTTTTTTTAATCATTATTTATCTTGGTCTTTGATATAAAAAAAAAATTTGATTATTATGGAAATTTTTATTGTTTATTTAATAAACAATTTGTTATAAACAAATTAATTATCTCTTTGTATTTTTTTTCTTTTTCTTCTTAAAAAAACAAAAACAACTATGTATTATTTTTTGAAAAAAAAAATTTATTTATATTTTTTATTGAACTTTCAATTTTCTGTTATATTTAATTTCACCACTCTGACCTGGTTTTTTATGTTTAACTTTATTATAACTTTTTAACTAATAAAGATACAAAAAAAAACAAAGGATACAAAGGAAATTTGAAGTTCTAACTCAATTATTTATTTAATTAATACCATTTGTTAAAAAAGAAAATCTTACAGAAAATGTTTTTTTCTACTTTTATGTCTAAATATATTATAAACTAATTCAACGAACAACTTGCAACTCATGTAACTTTTTATTGAACGTATATTTATCAACAATTTTAGCCCTCGCGACTTTTGCATCATTCTGGAAACACTATGTAAACGGTCTGGAACCTTTCCGTAACCAGACTGATTCCATAATGTTTCCAGAGTGTGTTTGTTACATTTGTCCATTATGTATCCAGAGCATAACCAGAGTGAATACATATCAAAATCATACTGAATACATAGTGAATCCAGAGCATAACCAGAGTGAATACATATCAAAACCATACTGAATACATAGTGAATCCAGAATGTAACTCGAGTGAATTCACACTATAATCAGAATAAATTCATATCAAATCCATTATGTATCTTGAGTGAGTACATACCATTCTCATACTGAATATATAACGGAATTAGAATGTAAGCTGAATGGACTTAGAATAAAACCAAAATGAATACACACTAAAACCAGAATGTAACCTGGGTCAATACACACCATTTTCGGAATGAAAGCATGTTGGAAACAAAAGAAGTACATACTAAAACCGGATTGGGAAGGTACAAAAGTCTAAATGTGTGCAGGATAATAGAATTAATTAAAACATAGTATTTCAAGTGCATTAGTAAATTTTTATTAGTTAAAAATAAATAAATAAATTAATAAAAATTTAAGTTTAACAAAAAAACTTTGAACATAGTATAAAAACGATGGACTATAAAGAAATAATAACTTTTTGCTTATTTTAATTTTTGTTGCTCCTTCTTAACGTGTCCCGTTCTTTTTTAATTCACGCCGGTGCTCATTTAAAAATGCTCCTATCCAAGATTTTAAGTAGATAGTTAAATCATCTTTGGATCCTGGGATCCAAGTTAGTTCTCTTTTTTTTTGCAAGTATAAACATAAATCTGTAATATACAAAATAATTCATTATTTACAAATGTTTTATTAAAAATTTTATTTGATCTACTGATATTCAAAAAACATAAAGATACTTTTGAGCGCTTTAAACTGAAAAATTCGTTTTCAAAATTTTAAAATCAATCAAAGTCTACAGAATTATAAATTTTACATTGGAAAAATTTTTGTGGGAGTCATATCTTCCACCACTGTTTTGTAATTTAATTTAATTATTATTTATAAGTATTAATATTAATTCATTATCATTTATAAATATTAATATTATTTAGTTATTATTGATATTTATTAACATCGTTTAATTATTATTATTAGCATATAATTATTTAGTTAATAATTATTATTATTATTTATGAGTAATAGGTAATTAATATAGGAATTACTTAAGTTGTAGATTTTTCTATAACGGTATTAAAATTTTGTTTAAAAAGTTTCAGTTGGGTCTCAGCACCATAAATTATACTAGATTATAATTTACTTGGTGATGCCAAACAACTCATAAGTCTCGTCTGCAGCAAAAGCATTTCTTTGGGAAATTTTAGTTTATTGTAATTTTAGTGCAATATAGAAAAATTCACATTCGCAGCTGGCGAGACCCTAATAAAATGTATTGTTATAAGATTAAAAATAGGTATAAGTTTGTTATAAGAAGCTTAAGGGTTTTTCCCAAATATTTTCCAATAAATATCCCAATACCCTACCTTTTCTAAGAAGCAATTAAGGGATTAAAAACTCTTGTCGCATGGCCAGCGACCGGACCCATGAGTTCAGTAATTGCTCTATACCTGTACCTCTGTACCTATACCTATACTTCTACACTTCTATATCTCTATACTTCTACTTCTATAATTTTTACATACTTTCAGAATCTATCCTATACCTAGACTAACTTGTACCTAGTTCCATACTTACGTACAAATAAGTACTCCTATCCTATATATTTTCTCAATACTTCCTTCGAGTACCCCCACCTCCTGAGAGGTCAGAGGCCGAGATGGACACTTTGAGAAAATCAGTTAGTCCTGGAAACCCATTAGCTTCACCTCGTATTTTTAAGTTACACGCGTGTATTAATAGTTAGATTTATTTAAATAAAATTTATTAAACTTAAATATTTCTATTCGCTCACTCGCTAGCCCTTACTTTCCAAAGTGGTGACCCCTAGTTTAAATGATATTTCGCGTGTTTTACATTTCGACTTACAGTAAATTTATATCGCGCAGTTTATTTTTTCTTCTGGTGAAGTGTGGTTATTAGTGTGAGTAGTTCGCGTCATATTTTCAAATAATTTTTAAATCATGGTGAACCCTCCGGTCGGCAACGGTGGTGTAATTCCCGAGGCTGAGGCGCGCATTGGTCGGACCGTAGCTCTGACACGGTTACCAGAATTTATCTCCGAGGACCCAGAAATGAGGTTCGTGATGGTAGAATCGCTCTTCCAGCGATATAACGTAACCGACAAACAAGATCGCTTGACTCACATTGTGCCAGCGCTACCTCCGCGAGTCGCGAAACAAGTGCGCGACGTCGTAATGAAAGAACAAACCCCCGCGTTATACGATGAACTGAAAGCGCAGCTAATCAAGAGGCTCGGCATCAGTCAGGCGGAGAAAACGAATCGGCTTCTGGAAGGCGAGAAGATGGGCGACGAGAAACCATCAGAATACCTACGCCGGTTACAAGAAATCGGAGGTGAGATCCCGGAACATCTTTTGCAGTCGATCTGGTTACGAGGTCTTCCAGATGGTTACCGAATGACGATGGCAGCGCAGCGCGGTCAGTCACTTGATAATATGGCTGAAGTTGCGGACAACATACATGAGACGGTACCGACACGTCGAGCCGTATTCGAAACTGCAGCATCCCAGGACACGTCGATCGCCACTGCGCTCCAAAACCTCCAGCTGGAGATGGCAGAGATCAAACGGAAAATGCACTCACCGTCAGAAGGCAGACGCGGCAGATCACCGACACCGCACCGTAGCAAGCCGCAGTCCCAATCCGGATCAGGAGCACGATCACGCGGCCCTCGTCCCCAAGGAATCTGTTGGTACCATTGGATTTTCAACGAGAAGGCAGATAAGTGTACACAACCGTGCAACTGGACCCCGGGAAATGCCCAGGGCAGTCGTTAATGACGCCCGACGACACTCGCCCGCAGACATCTAGCCGTCTGTTCATCCGCGACCGTGAGTCAAATATGCATTTTCTAATTGACACGGGTGCGGATCTGTGTGTAATTCCGCGAAAATATTACCGTGGACCGTGCAAAAAGTCAAACTACGAACTTTCCGCGGCTAACGGTACGCCCATATCTACATATGGAGTCGCGACGCTTACACTGAACTTGGGCCTGAGGCGGGATTTCACGTAAAGGTTCCTGATCGCGGATGTGTCGAAACCCATCATCGGCGCCGATTTCCTATCGCACTACGGGTTGCTTATCGACCTCAAGCGCGGGAAGTTGTTAGACACGACCACCAAGTTATACCTAGAAGGAGAGATTGTTCAATGCGGAGATCCGGGAATCAGGATCATTTCCGGCTCGTCTGAGTATCACAAACTGCTCGAAGAGTTCCCGTCGATCACACATCCCAGCGGAACTCCAGGAGAAATGCGACATCAGACACAACATCATATTGAAACGACTCCAGGACCACCGGTGGCATTGAAGCCAAGAAGATTAGCCCCCGACAAGCTCAAAGCAGCCAAGAAGGAGTTTGAAGCCATGCTACGCCTGGGACTCGCACGACCATCGAAGAGTCCTTGGGCGGCACCGCTGCATATGGTTCCCAAAAAGGACGACGAATGGCGTCCTTGCGGGGATTACAGAGGTCTCAACACCCGGACCAAGGCGGACAAGTATGCGGTTCGACATATCCACGATTTTCCGTACATGCTGCATGGTAAGAAAGTTTTCTCCAGAGTTGATCTTGTGCGGGCGTTTAATCAAATTCCAGTTGCACCGGAGGATATTCAGAAGACAGCCATCACAACACCGTTCGGCCTGTACGAGTTTCCATTCATGACTTTTGGACTACGGAACGCAGCACAAACGTTCCAGCGCTTCATGGATGAAGTACTTCGCGGGTTGGATTTTTGCTACGCCTACATCGACGACATCCTGATCGCCTCGATATCACCTGAAGAACACAAGAGACACCTCAGAATACTCTTCAAGAAGCTCGAGGAATATGGCGTCGTTATTAACCCTAGCAAATGCGTCTTTGGAGTTTCAAAAGTCGAGTTCCTCGGATACCTCGTCTCAGAAGCTGGAGTACAACCCCTGCCCGAGAAAGTCGAAGTCATCCGGTCGTTTCCAAAACCGACCACCGGCAAACAACTTCGTCAATTTCTAAGTATGTCTAATTTTTATCGCAGATTTATTCCTAAAACTGCAGGTATCCAGGCTTCGCTGAACGAGCTGCTTAAAGGTGACATCAAGGGACGTGCGCCGGTCAAATGGACTCCAGAAACTGTCAAAGCATTTGAAGCCTGCAAGGAGAGCTTGGCCCAAGCGACGCTATTATCTCACCCGAAATCCGACACACTGCTGGCAATATTCACTGACGCATCTGACATCGCCGTTGGAGCCGTCCTACAACAGTGGGTCGACAACATGTGGCAGCCACTTAACTTCTTCTCGAAGAAGCTCAGTCCTGCCAAAGTCAACTACAGTGCGTACGACCGAGAATTACTGGCGATTTACCTGTCAGTCAAACATTTCCTTCACATGGCTCGTATTACCTTTTATTTTTTTGCACTGTTGGTTCGTCACTTCAACATGATTTTCATTTTTGTGACGATCCTTCACGTACATATTTTGTAGAACTTCCGGTGGCCACAGTTGTTTCATGAGTAAGTTTACCCGTTGCCTCATAGTTGATTTTTTTAAAATTGCAGCTAAATTTTCAGCACTTATTGCTGTGTCTCCAATGACTACGAACTGGAAATACCGAAGAAAATGATAAAATTTAGTTTGATGAATAGTAAATGGTTGACAATTTTAGATATACATAATTTACACTTACTTCTTCTTCATTTTCGATAAGTATCGATTCCGTTAATTTTGGAATCGAGAAAGTAGGTTGCTGATAGTGACCAAGTTGTTGAGAAGGCTGTTGTGGATTAACGCTGACCTGTTTAGGTGTTTTTTGGATTAATCGACTGAAATTATTAATTTTTTGGTGCAAAGTTCTCAAATTGGTATTGAGAGAAGCAAATGGCCTGCGGATTATTGTCCTGCTCTTTCGTGATCTTGATGGATTTGATGAGACGTTCTTAGATCTTTCTGGAGTATTTTGAAATGGTTTCTTTTTTATAACATTCTTGTCACTTAAAGTACTTGCGGGTTCACTACTGTCATCGATATTCTCCATAGGTGACTGCCCTTCCTACAATAATCAGTAAACGAGTGAGTGTGACATTTCCAAATGCATTTAAAAAAAGTTTGGAAAATCCACAAGTACACGCCTCACACGATTATTCTTTAGCAAGAAAAAAAAATACAGAAAAATGTATTCGTTCTATTTTTTTCTACTTTCTAGAGTATCGACAGTCAATATCGAACATTATTCTATACGTAATTCCTATTCGTAAGCAAATTCGAATTTGCTCGTTACATATTAAAAGGTGTATTAGTATTAAATGAACGAATGCTTTATGTACTCTCAAATATAATTTGAAAAAGTTATTGAGCAATATCAACAATTACAGTGAACATAACAAATAGGTTACGAAATTACTGTAAGTGAATTTTTTTAACTTACTTCACTGTTTATGCCACCTACATCCTCTCGTGCATTATACTGTGGGACCATATCGCCGTAAAACTCAGATGATTGCTTTTGTACAGTTTTTTTCGACTTTTCATGATCATTCTGTTTAGGAAAAACAATAAAATAAATAATTAATTACATAATATATGTATGAAAAAGGTAGATTTTTTAGAACCAAATACGATTGGACTGTCCAATGAATTCGATTTTCACTTTGGGTGTTAATTATAAGTAAATACGACGTATTACGACTATAAAAAACGAAGTGACTGTTTGTACGGGTGCTGGATGAATAAATTCTATTTATTCGTACATTTATTCAATTTTTTTTTTTTTAAATTAAGAATGAATTGGGATGATTAGCTTGTTTTTTAAGAATGAGTATATTTTTTTTTTTACAAATAAATTTATTCTATAAACGTGAGTATAATTGTTGTACAGTACCTGTATTAATAGACTCAGTCTATAAAAAACAGCGTTGCCAAATGTCAATGTTATTTTTTTGATATAGCAAAAATTTAACTTACTGCCATTATCACTTTCGGCTTAAATGGAACATTGGATTTGATTGTTGGACTATACTTCGGTATTTTTGTCATAATTATCCGACTCGTAGTAGAGTTCCGTTTCATGAGTTTATGTGGATCATCTGCAATAAACGACAGTAATTATAAAAAAAATAAGTAAAAATGATTCAAGATTCAAGAATGTATTGTGAGCAATAATTATTTATATACATTGCGTAATAGCAATGAAGCATAATTTATAAACACTCGAAGGATTATAATTTCATATCTTTATTCAATTTATAAACGCAAAAGAAATCTTGACATAGAATTAATCATTGATTAATTACATGAGAAATAATATATTTACTTTTAAAAATAAGCTTTTTTATTAACTAACAAAATTTTCATTTGGATTGTACGGAACGAATAAGACCACAATTAAAAAAAAAAAATTGCAATTCTCTGGAAAATAAGAAAATCTTTTCATAACATTGTAATGACGTTCATTCGCTACGTTACGGTCAAATGAGTACTAAATTTTTCTGGAATTTATTTAGGGCTTGAAAAAATTTTTAATATATATTAAAAATATTACAGTGATTTGTAAATATTATTAATGAATATCAAATATGTTTTAAGTATTTATTTGTATATATCAGTCAATTTCAATTAATTACTGATTTGATTCTATTTTCAATATGGTGGACAGATTACCTAAATAATTTTTAGTATGTCAGTTAAAAATTAATAGTTAATTAAAACGTTCGATAACACTAATTTTTTATTACAAATTTTTGAACTTTAAATTTAAAAGAATATTTTAAGACAATCTCTATTACGGTATGCACTTGAATAATATAAATATAATAATTAAAATTTTAAAAAATCTGACCGCTCATAAGACTGTATGTTAAAAATTTCATTTTTAATCTTTAATAATTTTTCAAAATGATCGATAACGAGTTCCGAAATTTTTAGGAAAAATTTTTATATAATTAAATTTATCAAAACTAAAAAGGAACTTTTTTTTTGGTTCAACATTTGGATAGGGTAGCTTAACCTTAGCTTTACTAGACACCTCTCTCTGACTAATATACAAAATTAAAACATATGTCAATTAAAATCAAACCATCTGAATCCACGAATTTCACGGGAGCATTTCCCAAATTGACACGCTGGTCCCTCACAAATAAACTACAATCATCGTCGATGTCCTCTGTTCCTTTTATAGGCGTTAGCTGATTTTCTTCATTTAAACGGTAGATACTGCTTGATGAGACAATGTAACTTTTATTACGACGGATATCCGTCACAAGACTATACTTGTCCATCCTTAGTAACGATCTGTAAGAAAAACATGATTTATTATTCGATTATTAAAATGTTAACTGTCAATAAACATGGATAAATTAATATTTACGAATGTTTAACGGACACAATGGAAGTAGTAAAAAAAGTATATACCTACGTTGGTAATTTGCCCTCACCAATTGATTTTTTCTTAACTTACATATAAATACGTAATATTTCAGTTGTCACAGGCTTATGTTGCTTCAAGCACTTTATGATTTTTGTCAATAAATTCACGTGATGATCGTTTGGGTGTAGCCATCTTCGATTGACTTGAAACGCATGCGCTGTAGAATACTCTTTGTTGATTTTTTTCGCATGCGTGATGCGTGTATAATTTAAACGCGGCAATTTCAAAAGTTATGAAATACAATCTTATAACATTGTATAAAAATTGGAGAAATTTAATAGAATTTCTTAAAGCATCGCTAAAACGTGTTGGATTTTTGTCTAATATTTAAAAATTCAATGAATTTGACATAAATAAATAAAACATTAAAATTATCTTTGAGTTTCTATACTATATAGTATATAGTATATAGTATACTATATAGCCTAATACGATTTGATGCCGTGAAACTATCTACAAAATTACACAATTAGATCAAGTTTAATAAAAACTCTGAAAATATAGAGAACACAAAAGTCTGGCGCATCTGCATTCTGCGCATGCGTCAATAATATTTTTTCAAAGGAAATAACCTCTCTTATTACGTTTTATTTAATACACGAGGTTGAGAATATCAACAACATGTTCAAACTATTTTATTGACACGATAAATTGTTTAAATATTATTGAAATATATATAAAATTTTTACATCGCTTCGTAAACGCGTGCTGGTATTTATTAACTCTTTGGGCTATAGAAAATACACGCAATCAAAAACCGAGTATTAATAATAAAGACTGTTGGATGGTATTGGTATGTAATCTACATTGAACATAAAAGTGAATCTTAGGTAAGTAAAAAAATGCATTCAGATTGTTTTTCTGTGATGTTTAAACCGTAACTCCGACTCTCTAGACCGCTTAATCAAATCTAAAAACACGTGGAAGATCTTGTTCTATCAGTTTTCAACCTTAGCGTATACCATCTTTCTATTTAAATCTAGGTCATATTTGGAATTATCTATTTGTTGTTTAAAATATTCTGCAATATACTAGCTCTAAATAAAGAAATTTTGTTGATAGTCAACTGTGATCTGTTAAAACGTGGTTACTGTATGACCTTGAATTTGACAACACTCGACAATTGAATTGTTAATCTAGAAATTGCTATAAAATTACTATTTTAATTATAAGAAAAAAATATTGAAAAACTTGCACTTGTCCACTGTCTTAATTTCTAGATGTGGAATTTTTTTTAATTAAATTCTTTTTCATCATAACTGAATTGCTTTAAAAATACAAAAAATTGACAGATGTCTGTTAACTTCAGTATCATTCTACACTTTCAAATTATCAGTATTTTTTTTTTCTAAACGTCTTCCTGATTAAACAATTTAACCGTCGGCTACCCGCCAAATTCAGGGTTACGATCACCGTTTACCTGTAGATCAAAAAATGGCATTCGAATTACTAATCTTGCATTTTGAAATTCTTCAACCAGATTAGCAATGGAGAAAAAATTCAGTAATTCTCGGGTAGCAGTATATAGAAGGCAAAAAAGAAAATTGGCTCAATTTTTGACAGCATTTCCACATGGACAAGGTCCATTTATTCCGAAGAAGTTCTTTGAATTACCAGTAAGTTGAAATAATCATTATTTTTTATCCGATTTCTATCGTTAATGTAAATATATAGAAATATTTCAAATAACTTTGACGTAGTCTTATTCAAACATAAATTCGTACGATACAGAAATCAGGAGATTTCAAAAAAAAATTTATTGTTTTATGTCAAGTTTTCAAATCACACTATGCGATGGGTGTTTATTTTTAATAATATTTAAAGTTATTTAATTATGTAAATGCTTCAAGGACGTTCGTCCGTGAGACTTGATAGTTGAAATTGTTACTTTTCAGTTTTAAGAAATTTAATTCTATAAAAATGTTTCCTAAAATTTTGGGAATTCGTTATCGAAAATTTTGAAAAGTTATTAACGATTAAACATGAAATTTTTAACATATAGTCTTATGGCAGGCCAGATTTTTTTAATTGTAATTATTATATTTATATTATTTAAGTACATACCATAATAGAGATTTTCTTAGAATATTCTTTCAAATATAAAGTTCAAAAATTTGTAATAAAAAATTAGTGTTATCGAACGTTTTAATTTAGTATTAATTTTTTTAACTGACATACTAAAAATTATTTAGGTAATCTTTCCACCAAATTGAAAATAGAGTCGAATCAGTAATTAATTGAAATTTAATGATATTTGCAAATAAATCCTTAAAAAATATTTGGTATTCATTCATAATATTTATAGCTAAATAAATTTCATAAAAATTTAGTACTAATTTGACTAACGTAGCGAATGAACGTCCTTAAAATGTTTATAATTGTTTACCATATTATTAAGGAGTTATTATTAAATTTATAAATTGAAGTGATTATAAGCAATTACAAATAAATTGTTATTGGAATTTTTTTCGATTCATATAACTACATTTAAAAGGACTTTAATAATTGACTCGAATTTGAACTAGTCAGGTGTTTTTCGTGTTCAGAATAAGACGTATATGGAAGGTAGTAATATAAAAAATGCTAACACATTGAAAATTTTGCTGTCCACTGATGAAAGTATATTTATGTATTATCCCCGATTAATATTACTCATCGATATGTTTTGAAATTGATGGACTTTTCATTCTTTTCAATTATTTCAATTTTTTTTGTGTATGTATAGATATATATATATATATATATATATATATATATATATATATATATATATATA